TTTGCTGCTGACAACCAAAACCAGCTGATCACATGCTCAAGAAGGACCATCAGCCTAACAATGGATCATTAGCACACTGATGGCTGTTTACTATTCACAGAGGGCTGAGTGATACTAGTTGTCTAATAATGTAACACCTGTTTGTTTTTCTGTAAATATTCTTGGAACAAGTTTTGTTGATAGTCATTCTGTAAGTAAGTACACATTTCAACTTACCGGTAATCTAACATAACCTACCTGTTGGCCAGATTCTGGACCTCAGACCTCTTCTCCTTATAGATGGTCTTGTAACCGTGGATGAAGGACAGGTAGGACTTGGGTGTGACATGAGTGGAGCGTCGGTATCTAGATTCAGTTTGGAGTTGAAAAATAATATTTCAGGGCATACTAAACAATAAATCGTGTTTACATTTTATAAATGTCAGAACCACTGCAGGAAATAGGAAAGGGTCACACAGTTCAACAAATCTGTCAGCTCTGATTGATGCAGCCTTTGAACATTTCTGATCACATTTATACATTTTAAGAAATTTATGCAGTTTTTAATATTTTTGTAGTCGACAATCAAATTTTGCATTGTCTTAATTACAATATTTTAATATTTATTGTATTTGATCATCCATCCATCCATCCATTTATAATACAATACAATTAATAATCGATTTCAATGGATCTTTAATATATTTAATCCTTTGGTGCAGTAGCTGTTGTGAGCTCATGATTCTCAGCAGAACCTCAGGATCCAATATATACTTTAATTCAAGATATATTTTGTTATACACCATGGGGTCCTTCGACAGGAGAGTTTTAGGATCACTGCCCGTAAACCAGTGCTGCAGGATAGTATATTGTTTAATTTTTTGTTTGTTTGTTTGTTTGTCATGTATTTTTTTACATTTAGGAAAGTTATAGACTCAAGCTCAGTCTGATGCACCACAGTACTACCTTTGAAAGTAATCCACACACTTCTCTGCAACGCCATCCTGGAATGAGCCCATGCACTGAACTACTTCCTGTTTGACCTGAGGTGAGCAGTCTATGTCGTAGACAGACAGGAAGTGCTCTGAGACTAAAGGACAGGAAAGATAAAAATAAATTATTTTGATTAAAACAAAAAAAATGTCTCAATTTAAACTAGAAACGTCATATACATATATATACAGTATATACCATAAGTTCAGTTAGGATAAAATTAAGGTAAATTATTCCCTGAATTGTTACTATTGTTTTTCTACAGAAAAGACTATCAGTTATGAACATTATGAAATTGATTGTTGCTCATTTTAGGTTTAAGCTTCAGTCAGATTCCTGACAGGCAACAAAATTAAGAGTAGAATTCTGTAAATTAAGAGCAGAATTATGTACATAATAAAAACCTATAAAGACACATCCAGTCTAGACCAGTGAGAAAAGGTCAAATTCAAACCTGCAACCAGCGCGTCTTTGGGCCAGCGGCTGAACCAGTCCATGGTGCAACCGGATATCAGCGCCGGGAACTTCAGCGCCCGGTTGCGAAACTTTTCCCCAACGGGGGAAAAGCACAGAACAACGTGGAGATTGTGTCGGACCCGGGACATAAAGTACTCGTGCAGGTTTTCATTGGTCGGTGGTCGCCGTGGAAACTCTCTCTTCATTGTAGGGATGAGGTCGCTGAGGATATCGTCGATCTCATCACGAGCAAATAAGTTGGACACCTGAAGGTAGGAATACTCTTATTATTTCACTGAAATCACCTCAAATATTTAGCATTCATATGCTGGGTATTTTAAAGCTAAATAACTGATCATGTGTGTTTGACACAGTCTGAATGGGATTAAAACACATTTGGAGCATTTTAGGTTTTTCAAGTCTTTCAGTGTTTATGTCCTTCAATAAAGGCCTTAAAGAGTATACACAAAGGACACATAACTAAAAACAAATCACTAAACAACACACTAACAGCTTCAAAATTCATGCTCAATAATCCAGGTAAAAAAATCCAACAAAGTTCAGTCAGGTCATCTGGACGGTTTCTTTCTTTCTTTCTTTTTTGTTGTTGTTGTTGTTGAGATGTTTCATCATTCATCCAAAGGACTTCATCAGTCCCAAGAGCCACAAAAAAAAAAAACCTCAGTCCCGCAAGCAGCACACTCCCATAGTGGGCCAACCAGTTTGCTTGTGATTATATGGTTTCTGGGGCCCACCTTCTTCCCTGTTGATTCCTCTATGGCAGCCATAGCCAAAGTGGTTCAAAACATCAAAGTTAATACTCAATAATCCAGGTAAAAAAAGTTCAATCAGATCAGGTCTGGACAGTTTCTTTAGACTGAGTTTGTCTGTGGCTCCTCGGATTGATGAAGTCCTTTGGATGAAGAACGGAACATCTCAACAACAAAACAAAAAATGGAACTGTCCAAATCTGACTGAGTTTATTTGTGGCTCCTCAGATTGATTAAGTCCTTTGGATGAAGGATGAAGCATCTCAAAAAAAAGAAAGAAAGAAAAACAGTCCAGATGACCTGACCAAACTTTGTTGCATTTTTTACATGGATTATTGAGCATGAACTTTGCTGTTTTGAACCACTTTGGCTATGGCTGCCTGAGAGGATTTGACAGGGGAGAGGGCGGGTCCCAGAAACCATCTTATCACCAGCAAACTGGTTGGTCCATTATGGGAGCGTGCTGCTTGTGGGACTGAGTTTGTTTGTGGCTCCTCGGACTGATGAAGTCTTTTGAATGAAGGACGAAACGTCTCAACAACAACACAAAAAGAACCCATCCAGATGACCTGACTGAACTTTGGTGGACATTAGCAGCTCAAATTTAATTTTCTATAGCTGTCTTTTTAATTTTCTCTCACTCAGTCATCTCAGAATAACTTTTACTCAAACTTCCTTCCAACATTCATTCAATTCATTCAACCTTTATTTATACAGGTCAGTCTTATTGAGCCTCAGGGACTCATTTACAAGAGAGACCTGTTTGTTTGTTTTTTTAAACAAAGATTGTTGACAACATTAGACAACAAAGACAACAATAGACAACCAGAAAAGAAAGCATACAAATTGAGAAGAATAAATGAAATAAAAATTAAAGAAAATGGTATAAAAAAAAGATAGATTGTAAAGCAATGTAGAATACTAGAATACTAAAAACAGGAACATATCTGCATTGGTTTTTGCCATGAACTTAGCAGTTGTTTGAAACCACTTAAGAGAGGTCAAGGTCGAGAGCTTCAGATCTTTTTGCAAGATATTCCAGGAAACAGGAGCAGAGTAGGAGAAGTCCCTTTTGCCAAGTTCAGTCCTCACTGAGGGGACACTGCATGTAATAATGTCCTGAGAGCGCACGCTATAGCTGCACTCGCGCGGAGACATGTAGGAGGAGATGTGTGAAGGCAGCAGACCAAGAAGTGATTTAAAGATGAAAATGCACAAGTGAGAGAGTCTGCGTGAAGCTAATGATGACCAGTTAACCAGTCAATACATGGTGCAGTGATGGGTACGGTAGTTTCCGCCTTTATGAATCTTAGTGCACCATGACAGCAGTACATACACAATATACACAAACCATTTAAAATTTTTAATAAAACCATTTTTACACAGCCAAACCAAACATACACAAACCACCCAAACACCATCACTACTCTTCCCTGGTCTCCACTTCAGTTCACCTGGCCTGCTACCTAAACTGTTATCCAACAAGGGAAATAAAGCCGTGATAAGGCAGACAGAGCTGTGAAAATTAAAATAATTACACTTCAAGCTGCAGATGGAAACATGGTTGGACAGAAGGGAATTAGAAAAGGTGTAAATTAGAAGCAAACACTTGTCAGAAGTGAGAAAAACTAAATAAAAGCTGATGGAAAGAAACATATTTCTGTTTAAATGCAAACCCAACCTCTCCTGATGAGAGGACGTTGTTCATATACTCCAAGAAGCTCTCGTCTTTGATTTCATTGTCGGTGAAGATGAAGCTGACCCCTTTTCCCTGCTGACCGGCTGTTCGGTACAAACCCTTCAGGTCATCCATCAGGTTAGCTGTGTTATATGAACTGGGAACGAGAAGAAACATCTTGTTAATTGATGTTACCTTGTAAACATCCATCCATCCATTATCTTTACCCGCTTATTCCATTTTGGGTCACGGGGGTCGCTGGTGCCCATGTCTAGCAATCACTGTGCGAGGGGCGGGGTACACCCTGGACGGGTCGCAAGTCCATCACAGGGACACATAGAGACAAATGAGACAAACAAACATTCACTTTCTCACTCACACCTAGGGACAATTTAGAGTTACCAATCAGCCTAACATTCATGTTTTTGGTCTGTGGGAGGAAACCGGAGTACTCGGAGGAAACCCACGCATGCACGGAGAGAACATGTAAACTCCACCCAGAAAGGCCCCTGGACCAGGGTTTGAACCAAGGACCTGTTCGCTGAGAGGCAGCAGCTCTACCAGTTGCGCCACCGTGCTGCACCTTGTAAACATCTCCAAATTTATTTAAATATTTCGACAGACATTTTGTCTGATTAACTTCTGCAGCGTATTGTTGGATTTTCAAGTTGTGGGAGATTTTTTGATGGGGTAAAAATGTGTGGAGCAACATGAAAAATTTCTGACTTTAAAAATAAATTAAACGGCCTGCACCAGTTTGGATCTCATAAGTCCTCCCAGCTGCCACGAGACTGAGTCTACAGCAGCAAGACAGGCAGGACTTTTAATGTTCCTCAGGGGCCGAAAAACTAACTAACTAAATTATCTATTTAAACAAGGGGTATCTGAAAGGCAGCTCGAGGGCCATTTGCATCCCTTGGAGTGATGCTGTGCTGTCAACAACTACAACTTAAGAAGCCGATGCAGATGTAGACCTGCTACTAATGTAATAGTGATCATTTTTTTGTAATTTTTTTTTTAGGTTTAAAAGGAAAATAGATGAAAAATAATCTTCTAAAAATGAGCAATCTTAAGTACAAAACAAACCTTTGGCTATAATTTAACCTTTTTTTTTATTTTTTATTTCATGGTACAAAGCATAAAACCTTTACTGACTACTACCAAAATGTAGACTTTTGGATAATTATCCATAAAAAAGATAAATATAACAAGTGTTTCCAAAGAAAATTATTACAGTTGATGTCATAATGGATGAAGGGAAATTGGACATTTTTAAAGGAATATAAAGTGGTATCGTCTACATACAAGTTGATTAACTTATTCAGTATCCCTTCAAACCTTCTATGAATCTGTTTTAGTCACGGACAGCTGTACAAGTTTTCAGAACTTCGATCAGACTTTGGGCCGACCATGGTTCAAACAGCTGATCAACCCTCATTTTAAAGAAGAGTTACTCATAGTATGCTTTTGTTTCTGAAAAAAAAATACTAAAATTAACTTTTCCAAGCACAAGAAAACAGAAAACAATCAACTCAATAAATCAAATAAATTAAATCATTTTATTAAGAAAGGTTAATGTTTGTGAGGCTTTTAATGTTTTGGATCTACAACAATTTAAAACACCTCGACCAAAATATGTAAACTATTGTCATTTCTCCAAAATACCTTGACAGTTTTGGCCCACATAGAAAAAAGTTTGGACACCGCTGATGGAAACAAACAGACAAACAAACAAACAAACAAACAGACAAACAAACAAACAGACAGACAAACAAACAGACAGACACACAGACAAACAGACAGACAGACAAACAGAGAAAGACAGACAGACAGACAGAGAAAGACAGACAGACAGACAGACAGACAGACAAACAGACAGACAAACAGACAGACAGACAAACAGACAGACAGACAGACAGACAGACAAACAGACAGACAGACAGACAGACAAACAGAGAAAGACAGACAGACAGAGAAAGACAGACAGACAGAGAGACAAGCAGAGAAAGACAGACAGACAGACAGACAGACAGACAGACAAACAGACAGACAGGAGACAGACAGCCTGCTTGCTTGCTTGCTGTCGGAGCCTTGGTTCACCGTCTCTTCACCTCCTCTGACAAACATTTGAACATGTCCATCAGATTTTAATGCTTTGCAGCCAAAATGCCAATTTTTACTTTGACATTTAGTGAGTGATAAATAAAATAATATAAACTGCATCTTTACTAAGCTCACCCACTACCATAAAATCAGTTTTGTAGTGTTGTCAGAGTGCAATCATTTATAATCTGTTTAGTTTATTTATGAAGGGTTTTTAGCTTTAACATTTTGCTTCTTTTAGGTATGAAAACTTACATATAAGTTTTGAAAGGCCAAATTATAACTCATTACTCTAATAGCTCATCAGATCTCTGGCAGCAGCTGTTTGGCTCACTTGAAGACATTGAAAACACAAGAAGTGTTTGGACACCCAGATAACATAGAATTACAATGGGTCAGCCTAGAATTGATGAATCATGGAGTGGTTCTTCTGCATCACTTTGAGACAAGATATTTTTAATTTGAGTGATTTGCACAGGTGGGAAAGAAGTGGTGCTGGTAACATTTTAACTGGAGGACACAATCACATCCTGATCAAAACTAACACCAAGATTATTTACATTATAACTGGAGGCCAAATGAATACCATTCTACGGCTGAAAAGTTTGTTCATAAGATACCACGACTGAGTTTAAAATCAGTAAAATAGGAGGCATCTGTAAGAGTTTTTCATTGTGTTACCATTTTAAACTGCTCCATGATTTCTGCACTTCCGTGCATACGAAGCAAAGAAGTTTCTGGAACTATCAGTCAACGTCCGAGCTGATAGTAATTCTTTGTATTTACATACGCTGTTTTTACTTAGAATTGTTTGTTCTTTTTTAAAACCAATCATGTCAAGGTTTAACATAACTAGTATCTTGCACTGCCATTGTTTTTCTCCTCACCCTTAAACTGATACAGATGATATCAACTGATACAGATGGTATCAGAAACTCATTTCAGTAAGCATAAACCCTTATCTCGTGACCCCAGATTGTTGACTGTCCTCTTTCCTTCTCTCTTACCAATAAAAAGGCAACTCAAACAGTGAGGCTTTGGAGTTCACTTCTGATTTCAGACCAGAAGTGAATTTCCCCTTCTTGCAAAGAGCGTTGGCCAAAAATCTCATTCTGTTGTCTCGTGTGATTTCTTTAATAGGTTCGACGGGAAAAAATACCCAACAGCATCCAACATGGAAACACCTCTTTGAACAGAAACTCTGGGATGGGAAAAAGCAGTTGATTTAAAGGTTTAGTTGAAGTTTTAATTTTTTGACAATTTAGGGAGCTCAGCGAATCAAAAACAATTAAACACAAACCAGGTTCTCCAAACATCTAACCTGGTTATGATTGCTAAGAGAATCAGAGGCAATTGTAGGAAGGATGATTTGACTTCACTCTTTCATTAAAATAATATTATTTATAAAGAGCACAATGAAGTCATCACAGTTTAACGATTTTCATTAGTCTGGCTACAGTACTAAAAAGAAACCTGGGGTTGTTCTTGTTCTCCTCTGTTAAATAATAGAGGGTTTAATCTTCAAAAGGGCTTTCTTGAATGTTAGCAAGCTATCTCACCAGGTTAAAATAAATTATTTCATTTTAGTAGAGCACCATAAACGTTGCCGTTTTAAAGTACCCAATATACTTTGCACATAACATTTACAAAAGGACCAATTTGTTTAAAGATTTCACGGGATGTGTTAGTGCTAGCGTCCTCAGCAACCACACCAACCTTTATTCTATCTATAAACCTGTTAGACATTATGACTGAGCTGCTGTAACGTTGTAAAGGCTAACAACATCTGGTAACCGGTAATCCAGTAGCAAAAAACGATGCATCAATATTTGAAAGGAATTTTTTTTTTACATAAATATTATAGAAAGGCTTAACGATAACAAGAGTTTTATATTTGCATAAACACAAGCTCTCTGTAATTAATGAGCATGTAAAGGTCATATGTGTCTGAGTGTGGGCCTGTGTTTTTGTCTGCTGGAGAAAAGAGTAAGCAGATGAAAAACCATGCAAGAGACGCAGTTGAAGTGCTTGTTTTCTCTAGAGATGCTTGTGAAGCCGAGAGGAGAAACATGACTCATTCAGATTGATACACAGCAAAATCTGTTAGAGACTGTGCCTGTGGGAAAAATGATAGCCACGAATACACATAAATACACACAAGTACACAAAAAAAAAAAACACGGGGGCTGGGAGGGAAAGATATTTGATGGGCTGGGAGAAGGAGAGAGGCTGGAGTGAAAGAATAATGAGGCAGATAGTGGTGTTCAAAATACAAACGGTTAATAAAATAGGAAGAATTGTCTTTCTCTTGATAAACCAACCAAAAAAGAGTTTTACTGGAAAGGGTCAGAGCAACAAAAAATATCAGCCTTTCTGCATTTATTAAGTGCTATCAGATACCAGTAATTCCTGCTGAATGTGCCCCCTGAGTAATGGGTTATGGATCTTTTTTTACTAGACTTCTGGGAAATAAAAATTCTAATTTTTATTCTCCACATAAGCATTACCGTGTGAGGGTGATCTGAAAGATCTGGTATCCAGCTATGAATGAGGCCAGTCTGGTCAGGCTCTGTTTCCCAGAACCTCCAACACCCACCAACAAGGCATTACCTCCTGGAGTTCGGATTATCCTTGAAACCTGAACATACAGAACATCAGAAAGTACTTTGAGTAGCAACTTTTAAAACAGCTCAAATTGTGTAGTGAAACAAAACAGGTTGGAGGCTATTGAAATATATTCAAAGACTTGAAATTCAAGCATTAACAAGCCGATGTCCCCCATCGCTGAGGGATCTGAATAGTGAATGTTTTGTAGTTTTGGAGAAGAGTGTTTTTCAGGACCAGAATTGAACAGAGAATGTAAATAAATTTTAATGTTTTTGGTGCAATGTGGTGCAAAGTGGACAGGAGTTATATTGTGGAGAAGAACAAAGGGAGTTTCTTTTTATTTTTTCTTATCTGAGGCAGCAGAGCGATGGATCCTGGAGAGTGGAGGGAGCAGCTTTATCCACTACAAGGTGCATTGGAGGAGCCAGGAGTGGCCCATGGTGGCCTTGGCCCCCATAGATGAACCTTTAGCCACCCCAATCATTTGAGGAAACTAAGCTTAAGCAATATAAAAACTAGAAAGCATATTTTCCTCAAATAATAGGGTTGACCGGTTTACATATCTCAATGGTAGTGGCCATCTTGGATTTAGATGTGGCAACCCAATTTTTGATAATGACTCAGATGTAGCCACACATCAAAATGGAAGTCGTTACATTGCTTATTTTTCAAATTATTGCACTCACAAGATAGACGGACATATTTGGTGGCAGCCATCTTGGATTTTGACACAGCAACCCAATTTTCAAAATCAAACTTTCTTATGCCAAGATGCAACTACAAATCAAAATGGAAGCCAGTACCTCACTTATTTGTTTAAGTTATTATGCCCACAACATGTACAGATGGGTAGATGGACAAAGTGTATTTTCAATTTCCTCTCTCTGCTCAGTGATGGGGGAGAAAAATGCACAAGGTTTACTGGATGTTTGTGTAGCTATTTACCATTTTGCAAAAAAATGACAAATTTATTGGCTCAAATAAAAAAATGTAAAAAAACACCTGTAAAGTACCTTGATCAGATGTATCATTGCATCCTGAAAGAACACCATGTCCATACCAGTACCTCTGACGCTCTCATTGTAGAGGAACAAGAACATGTTTAGACGGTCTCTTAAACTCTCAAATGACTCGATTGGCTCATAGACTTTAGGCAAATCAAAGTCTGAATCTTCTGGCTCTTCCCCTGAAAGGAAATTAATTTCACAATAAAAAAAAATTCAAGGCAAACAAAGAATCAAAACTTTGATTGTCTTGTTTGGTATCTACCTGTAGCTTCAGGAGCATCACGTAGAAAGTCAACAAAAAATATTTCAGCTCCAGAGTCAATCATTTTCATGTGCTCCTTCTTGAGCTCCTCTGGCACCAGCTTCACCAAAGCTTGGTCAAACCATTGCACGTCCTCGGGCATTGTAAACCTATCAGCTATCACACGCTTGCACTCGTGCTTCCACAGCGCCAGCAGAACCTGGAAAAACAGATTTATGAGTTCAAGTTTTCATTCAGCACAGAAGGAAGGGGACATGTGGGGAAATGGACTAGTGATCACCAAGTAGTGGCCAATAAAATATAAAACTATGGAAAAAGTGAACACAGTATAAAATGTCCAATATGTGTGAACACACCCAGCCTGTCTATTCATCATTACTGTTAACACCATGAAGTAATGTTGACCTTCCTCTGTCTTTTAACTGTCAGATGCATTTCTAACACCCTTCTACCAGTATACCCACTGTCCCTCCTCAAGACATGTCCAAAACATGTCCAAACGATCTCAGTCTGGCCTCTGTAACTTTATCTCCCAGTTGGTCAACCTGTGCTGTACCTCTGATGATTTCAATCCTAATCTTATCCATTCTTGTCACTCTTAAGGAGAACCTCAACATCTTCATTTCTGCCACTTCCAGTTCTTTCTATTGTTATTTTGTCCATGTCTCTTTCTCCAAGTCATACAGTATAGTTGATCTCACCAATGTCTTGTAAACATTTTCTTTGACCTTTGCTGTCACCGTTTTAATTACAAATCACCCATGAAACTTTTCTCCATACACTATTTCCTACCTGTACTCTCTGTTTCACCTCTTTACCACTCTCCCCATTTTCCTGGACAGTTGACCCCAAGTATTTGAAATCCTACATCTTTGTGTCCTCTGCTCCTTGTAGTCTGTCCATCATTATTACACTGCCTGTATCCTCAATCTCATTCTTTCAGTCACTACAGAGAGTTTGTGGCCATAGATGAGGGTAGGAACCTAGACTGATAGGTGAACAGAGAGCTTTGCCTTACAGCTCAGCTCCCTCTTCACCATAATGGACCGTCACAGAGTCTGCAATACTGCAGATGCTGCACCAATCCATTTGTCAATCTCACACTCCATTCTTCCATTACTCGTGAACAAAACCCCAAGATACTTGATCTCCTCCACTTGAGGCAGAACCTTACCCTCGACTTGAAAATAACAACCCACTCTTTTCAGACTGAGGACCATGGCCCAGATTTGAAAGTGTTGATTCTCATCCCAGTCGTTTCACATTTGACTGTGAACCACTCCAGTTAAAGCTGAAGATCATGACAGGATGACACCAGCAGGACCACATCATCCGCAAATAGCAAAGAAAGAATCCTGAGGCCGCCAAACCAGACTCCCTCCACTGCCTGTCTGCACCGAGAAATTCTGTCCATAAAAGTTATGAACAGAATCAATGAAAATGGGCAGCCCTGACGGAGTCCAATTCCCACCCTGAAGGGGTTCCACTTACTACCGGCAATGCGAACCAAACTCTCGCACTGCTTTTAAAGGGACAGAACTGCCCATAGCAACGGGCCCCCAATCCCATACTCACAGAGTGCCCCCCCCCCACACACACACACAGTGTGCCTTGAAGAACACAGTCAAAAGCCTTCTCCAAGTCCACAAAACACATGTAAACTGGATGGGCAAACTTCTATGACCCCTCGAAGACCCTAGTAAAAGTAAAGACCTGATCCAGTGTTCCATGGCCAAAACATAACCCACACTGTTCCTCCTGGATCTGAGGTTTGACCAATGATCGGACTCTCTTCTCCAATACCCCGGAATAGACATTAAGATTGACGCACCTATAATTGGAGCACACCCTCCAGTTCTCCTTTTTAAAGAGGAAAACCACCAACCCAGTCTATCAATCCAGTGGGACTGCCCCTGATGTCCACGCGATGTTGCAGAGGCATATCAACCAAGACAGCTCCACAACATCCAGAGCCTTAAGAAAATCAGGGTGAATCTTGTTCACCCCCGGAGCCCTGCCACCATGGAGCTGTTCAGCGATCTCGGTGACCTCAGCCACGATTATGGATAGACCAACCCCAAAGTCCCCCGACTCAACTTCCTCTGTGGAAAACATGTCAGTGGGATTGAGAAGTTCCACAAAGTATTTTTTCCACCTCCCGACGACATCACTAGTTGAGGTCAACAGCAACTCATCTTATGGCATGGTATAAAGTTTATTCATTTAAAAAAATACAAAACAACTCCATAACAATATAAAAAATACAAGAGATTTAAAATGAAAGACAGTAGAAAGAAGAAAAAAATCTTATTATATCTGCCCCTTTTTCAAACAATTAATTAAATCATAATAATTTTCAAGTAACAGAACAAAATTAATAACTCTTTTTAATTTTTCTAATTCTACAAAAAACACACTAAGCTACTTCATATATATATTTTTAACAATTCAGCTTTGATCTTTTTCTTAAATGTACACATTGACTTGGCATTTTTAACATCACTCTCTAGACAATTCCACAATCCAACTCCTTGGATTGAGGTAGACCTTCCCTTCAGACTAGTTCTGAATTTTAGTTTGACAAATATCTCTATCCCCTTAAGATTAGAACAACTTTGTCTTTTAACAAAATTTATTTGGATATTTAATGGTAATGTGATATTTTGAGCCCTATACATAACTGATAAAATACTATAATCTACCAAATCAGGGAACTTTAATAACTTTAGTTGATGAAATAATGTGCTTGATGGGTGACTGTAATGCTTTCTGGTGATAATTCTTATAGCTCTTTTCTGTAAAATAAAAATAGGTTTTGTAAATGTTTTACACGCTTTCCCCCAAACATCAATGCAATAGATTAAATGTGGAACAATGATTGTGTTATACAACATGTACAGAGCTTTATCATTTAATAATTCCCTGACTTTGTATAGTACTGCAATAGATTTAGATATTTTTATTCTTACAGAATTTATGTGATTTTTCCATGTTAGCTGTTCATCAATGATTACACCCAAAAATTTCATCTCATTAACTCTACAAATCTCAACACCCTCAATTTTGAATGGATCATCAACAGTTCTCTTTTTGTTACTAAATATCATGTAATTAGTTTTATCTAAATTTAATGATAATTTATTAAGTTTAAACCAAGTTTGTATTTTATCAAATTCTGTCTTCATCAATTCCAACATCTGTTTTACATCTTTACCCAAACAAAAATATGTGGTGTCATCTGCAAAAAGGACACATTTGAGGAGTCCTGATACATTCACTAAGTCATTCACATATAAAATAAATAACTTTGGTCCAAATACAGAGCCTTGAGGAACTCCACAAGTGATATTGCACAGGTCAGATCTTACACCATTTATTTGTACAAACTGTTTCCTATCTTTCAAATAGCTACATACCCAGTGTAATGCTGGTCCTCTTATACCATATTTATTCAATTTTTCAAGGAGAATAGTGTGGTCAATAGTATCGAATGCTTTTTTTAAATCAACAAAAATACTAACACAATACTGTTTTTGATCGACAGCAGTAGTTATTTGTTCCATTATTTCCATGAGAGCCATTGATGTAGAGTTGTTTTGCTCTAAACCCATACTGACTGCTACTTAGAATGTTTTGTTTAGTAATAAATTGATCTAATCTGGTCACAAATAGTTTTTCTAGAATTTTTGAGAACTGTGGTAATAAGGATATTTGTCTATAATTATTGAACATACATTTATCACCATTTTTAAAGAGAGGAACTACCTTAGCTACTTTCATATTGTCTGGAAATATTCCTTTTGAAAATGATAAATTACAAATATATGTAAACGGCTCGATAACATAACTCATCATGTCCTTTACAAACATCATATCCATGTCCACCCAGTCTTTTGATCTGTAAGATTTTTTACAACATTCATTATTTCTTCTTTGTCAGTTCCATTAAGAAAAATACTGTTGTCACAACCTATAACTGAATGGTTCACATTATTGTCTACTTTTGGTATTTTAGCTGCAAGGCTTGAGCCAACGTTCACAAAATAATGATTAAATCCATTTACAATTTCATTTTCATCATGGAGTTCATTGTCCTCCTTCAAAAAATATTGTGAAATACCTGTTTTTGCTTTATGACTTTTCAGAACACTACTTATTACCCGCCATGTTGCTTTCATATCACCATTACTTTTATTTAATAAATCACTATAATATTCCTTCTTGTGTTTCCTTATAATCCCTACTAATTTATTTTTATACTTCTTATATTTCTCTTCGGCCTCTTGTGTTCTCAATTTCAAGAAACATGTATACAAATAATTCTTTTTTTTTTTTTACAAGCATTTGTCAAACCTTTCGTCATCCATGGTTGGTCAACAACATTTCTCTTTGTATAATTATTTTGCACACAATTCTTTTCATACAGAGCTCCCAAAATATTCATAAACTCATCATATGATCTGTTCACATCATCAACATACACGTCTTTCCAGCTTTGTTTATGTAAATCATCTTTTAATTTATCCATTGCTTTTTTTGATGTGTTTATTGTTTTTTCCTTAATAGTAATTTCTTTTGTAATGCTTTGATCATTTTTATAAATCATGAAAAATGGTAAGTGATCACTTGAATCACTCATTAAAATACCTCCTATCACATCCCCATTTGTTATACTTGTGAAAATATTATCGATTATTGTAGCACTATGAGTTGTAATTCTTGTTGGTTTTGATACGAACGGATAAAGATTTAAACTATACAATGAATTTGTAAATGTACTGATGTTATTAGAATCTGTTTTATTTCCCAGGTCAATATTAAAGTCTCCACAGAAAAAAATACTTTTATTAAAACTCTTGTCCAAGAGTTGTAAGATTTTATCGGTGAATATCTCTATATTTGATCCTGGAGATCGATATTCACAGCTTATTAATATGTTTTTATCATTCTTGTTTATTATTTCTATTGTTATTATTTCCATGATATTATCAACAATTGTTGACATTTCATTAATTAATTTACATTTTATTTCATTTTTAACAAATAGAGCGACTCCACCACCTCTTTTGTTACTTCTGTTCACATGATATAATTCATACCCTTCCATGTGAACATTATTTGTGTTTTCATCATTGAGCCACATCTCCGACAGTGCTATTATTGTAAAGGTTCTGTTTAGCTGTTTTAAATAATCTGTTA